TAAAAAAAGTCTGTTTCTTGGTATCTCTCTCTCTTACTGTCTCTTTCCTTTGCTTGTTTTGTTTCTTAGATTCCACATATGAGTGAAATCATATGGTATTTGTCTTTCTCTGACTGACTTATTTCACTTAGCATTATACCCTCAACACCCAACCATGTCATTACAAATGGCAAGATTTCATTCTTTTTTATGACTCAGTAATATTCCATTGTATATATATATATACCACATCTTCCTTATCTATTCATCTATCAATGCACACTTGGGCTGTTCCATTATTTGGCTATTGTAAATAATGCTGCAATAAAAAAGGGGTGTGTATATCCTTTCAAAATTAGTGTTTTTGTATTTTGGGGTACATACCCAATAGCACAATTACTGAATGGTATGGTAATTCTATTCTTAATTTTTTGAGGAACCTCCACACTGTTTTCCACAGTGGCTACACCAGTTTGCATTCCCACCAACAGTGCACGAGGGTTTCTTTTTCTCCACATCCTTCCCAACACTTGCTGTTTCTTATGTTGTTGATTTTAGCCATTCTGAAAGGTGTGAGGTGATATCTCATTGTATTCAGGGGATCTGCATTCCCCAAATGATGAGAGATGTTGAGCATCTTTTCATGTGTCTGTTGGCCATTTGTATGTCTTCCTTGGAGAAATGTCTGTTCATGTCTTCTGCCTCACTTTTAATAGGGTTATTTGGCGGGGGGGGGGTTGGAGTTGAGTTGTGTAAGTTCTTTATATATGTTAAATACTAACCCTTTATCAAATTTGTCATTTGCAAATATCTTCTCTCATTCAGTAGGTTGTCTTTTAGTTTTGATGATTGTTTCCTTCGCTGTGCAGAAGCTTTTTATTTTGATGTAGTCCCAATAGTTTATTTTCTTTTGTTTCCTTTTCCTCAGGAGACATATCTAGAAAGATGTTGCTACTGCCAATGTCAGAGAAATTACTGCCTGTGTTTTCTTCTAGGATTTTTATGGTTTCAGGTGTACATCTATGTCTTTAATCCATTTTTAGTTACTTTTTGTGTATGGTATGAGAAAGTGGTTCACTTTCAGTCTTTTGCATGTAGCTTACCAGGTTTCCCAGCACTATTTGTTGAAGAGATTTTTTTCTTATTGCCTATTCTTACCTCCTTTGTCAAAGATTAATTGACCATATAATTGTGGGTTTATTTCTGGGCTCTCTATTCTGTTCCGTTGATCTATAAGTCTATTTTTGTGTCAGTACAATACTGTATTAATGACTACAGTTTTCTAATAAAATGGGAAATTTGGAATTGTGACATCTCCAGCTTTGTTTTTCTTTTTCAAGATGCTTTGGCTATTCAGGGTCTTTGGTAGTTTTACACAAATTTTAGGATCCTTGTTCTAGTTCTATGAAAAATGCTGTTGCTATTTTGGTAAGGATTGCATTAAATCTGTAGATTGCTTTGGGTAGTATGAACATTTTAACAGTATTTGTTCTTCTAATCCATAAGCATGGAATGTCTTTCCATTTCTTTGTGTGGTCTTCAGTTTCTTTCATCAGTGTTTATAGTTTTCAGAGTACAGGTCTTTCACTTCCTTGGTTAAATTTATTCCTAGGTATTTTATTATTTTTGGTGCAGTTGTAAATGGGATAGTTTTCTTAATTTCTCTTTCTGCTACTTCATCATTACTGTATAGAAATGCAATGGATTTCTGTACATTGATTTTGTATCCTGGAACTTTGCTAAATTCATTCATCAGTTCGAGTAGTTTTTTGGTGGGTTCTTTTCAGGTTTTCTATATATTCTGTCATGTGCAAATAGTGAAAGTTTGACTTCTTCCTTACATATTTGGATTCCTTTTATTTCTTTTTTTGTGTCTGATTGCTGTGGTTAGGACTTCCAGTACTATATTGAATAAAAGTGGTGAGAGTGGATATCATTGCCTTGTTCCTGACCTTAGGGGAAAAGCTCTCAGTTTTTCACTATTTAGTATGATGTTAGCAGTGGGTTTTTCATATAAGGCCTTAATTATGTTGAGTATGTTCCCTCTAAACCTACTTTGTTGAGGGTTTTTATCATGAATCGGTGTTGCACTTTGCCAAAAGCTTTTTCTGCATCTATTGAAATGATCATATGGTTTTTATCCTTTCTCTTATTGATGTGATATATCACATTGATTGATTCATGAATATTGAACCACCCTTGCATCCTGGGAATAAATCCCACTTGATCGTGGTGAATGATTCTCTTTAATGTATTGTTGGATTTGGTTTGCTAGTATTTTGTTGAGGATTTTTGCATCCATGTTCACCACGGATATTGGCATGTGTTTTGCTTTTCTCCAAGCCGTCCAGCCTATAAGAGACCACAGAAGGGCACATGAGGGGGGCACCATACCCAAACATTTCTAGAGCAACCCACTACCAATCATTTTCCCTTTTCCATCCTGACCAGCGTATGTGTACATATATCATTGAGATACATGTCTTTTTGAGGAAAAATGCCCTTACTACATGCACTGTGCTCTAATGTTTTCTGTTTTTACTACTTTCCTTTTTCCTTCTTTATTGTTTTCCATGCCAGCCATGACCCGCAGCTTGAAAACCACTGCTCCACATGACAACATCCCAGATCACAAGCAGAGGCTTTTGGGAAGGATTGTGTTCCTTTTCCCACTGTCCTTTTGCTTCTGAAGTGATATTTTAACAACAGTCTCCCCTCCCCTCTCCTCCCTACCCTACCCTCTCCTCATCTGACATTGACCCAGATGGAGACGTAGAATCCTCAGCCATGCACTTGTACACTCACTCTAGCTGTGCATCTATTTGCACTCAAATCTTGGCATTTTTACACCAGACCTACCCAACAGGTACACCATATGGTTAGTGTTCATGCCCCTTCCTGCCCTGAGCCTGGAGGCTTAAGAGGGCAATTCCTAACAGGTTCGTTGCATCATGAATGGCTTTTGCAAGGCTCTACCTCTCTCTTTTGGTCTCCAATGAGAGAGTCTCTTTTTAGGTCCCTATCTCCCAAATCCAATTTCCTTTTTCAAATGCAAAGTCAACTCATTTGGAGTCGAAGCCTGTTGAGGATTATTGCACTAGGGCTGAAAAAGATAAAAAGGATAAAAAGATAATGTTGGGGGAGGAACTTCTGTTCAGCAAACGGTGGAACTTTGCCTATATTCATTCCTATTTCTTTCCCTCTGCATTCGGGGGCTTTATAACTTCAGTTATTCTATAAACTATAGAAGAAAGGGTGTGGACTCTAGAGTCAGAAAACCCAGCTTTGCTGGTTAATAGCTGCTTGACCTTGGGCAAATCACTTATTCTCTCTAAGCCTTTATTTCCCCATCAGTAAAATTGAGCTGATAATGCATGTAAAGCCTTAACCCATCCCAGAACACATGCACAATACATTGTTAATATTAATTCAGAGGAGTTTAATGATTCATGTCCACAGCCACAGAACAAGCTGTTGGCTGAGGAAGAGAACATCATTTTCCCCAGGGGCAGAACCTGGCACGGGAGACCAGGCTCCAACATGGACTTGCTATGGAACTCGGGACAAGGTTATTATTGTCTCTGGCATTTGGTTTTCTTGCCTTAAAGTGGAGAAAATACCCTATCCATCTCACATGGTGTTTAAGTGACATCATTCCCTAACAGGACGTCAAAATCAGACTCGACTTGTCTCCTAAATTGCTCTTGAAAACAATAGGTGACAAGAACTCACAAGAGAAATGCTGGCCGTCTATGCAGGACATGCTAACACTGACCAAAACAAGGCAGCAGTTGAAGAGCTTTGTGTTGTATCCCTTGGAACTTTAAGGACACAGACTCTGATTCCTACCTCCTGTCTGGAAAAGTCTAAAGGCAAAAAGCTGACAGCAGAGAGAACCTCATCAGAGCAAGGCACTCTCCCACTTGGGTCAGGGCAAGGGTGGACATCCCCTTGAGGAAGGTAGTTGACCCAAACCATCTGCAAAGGACCCCACCTAAGAGTTAGGTACCCCAACTGCCACAATCAGGAACTGAGAAGGCAGCTGTACTCCACCATTGAGGGGGGACCGTGATAAGGGAACCATACATTAGGAGCCCCCATAGGGTAGAGGGCCAAAAAACCCACAAAAGCACCCCACAAGGCCATGAGCCAACATTTGGGCATCTGCCACAAGCAGAAAATGCCAAGGTCATATGACAACTGCGTCAGTCACGTAAAACCTCTTCAGCCCTCCTTACGTTTCCTCCCTCCATTCCTCCCCAGCAGCAGAGCCAGTGGGAGAGGAGGCAGCCTGAGGAGAACCAGAGGTCGTGCCTCCCACGTGGCAGGGTTCAGGGTCCAGATCAGTCGGGGGAGCCATGGGAGAGGGGAGGAGTTTTACAGGGCCTTTGTTTCCTCGTTTTTGGAATGGATGGGGATCGAATATCCCCGACCGCCCAGAGATGGGGACCAACTGAGGTAATACCCATGATGTGCTTGAAACAGTGCCCAAAGTAAGCCCCGGGCCCCAATCAGAATAACAAACCCACAGGCACACAAGTCTGGGTCACAGCCCAGAGCTTCCATTGGCTCTTCCTTCAGCTTCTCAGCTTTTTGTAGGTCTTGTCTTGGAAGATCAGCCTCTTTGGTTCTGTTCAAAGACAACATCCCTGAACTAAGCAGTGACAGAGCCCAGACTGGCCCCTGTGCCCCCGAAAAGGGCAGCCTCCTCATCCTGGCCTCGAAGCGGCCAGAGCACAGGCCACATGAACACTATGGACAGCTGGCAGGGCCTCCCCTGGTTTGGCCCACCTTCTCCGCAACTCTTCCACTGCGCTCTTCCCCACGGATGGGACCTCACAGGCCTGGGAGCCTGCTGGACCCAGATAACTCCCCACTCCCATCCTCTGGAGACTGGTGGATGTGGGTCGAGATGGCAAACCCACATTAACGTTCATCGGCTGATAAACTGAAGGATTCCAAAGGCATGGCCTTTTTTAAAATGTTTTTTTAACAATTTTATTTATTTATTTGACAGAGAGAGAGTACAAGCAGGTGGAATAGCAGGCAGAGCGAGAAGGAGAAGCAGGCTCCCTGCAGAGCAAGAAGCCGGATGCGGGACTCGATCCCAGGACCCTGAGATCATGACCTGAGCCGAAGAAGGCAGTCACTTAACTGACTGAGCCACCCAGGCGCCCTGTATTTTTCAGTTCTGCTGCTTGGAGGGTGACACCCAAGATTGGGTCTCCATCTCTATCAACTACTCTGATAAGTGTCAAAGTAAAGGGAAATTTCAGACTCAGGAAACCCCACCAACATCATGAAAGCAACAACAGCAACAGCAACTCACATCCCCAGGCTAAGGGGTGAACCCTGAGTATCCAGTTCCAGTCCGTTCATTTACAGGTATGTCACACAAAGTCAAGAATAGCAAAGGCTTAAGGATTGTTTAGACAAGGACAGCCGGATGCATGTGTCATTGTGGATTGGGCCCTGGGGGAATAAAGCTGTTGAGTGACATTATTGGGTCTCATCTCACAAAACTGAATGTGGGTCAGAGATTAGATTATAGTATTGGATCAATGTTAAATTTCCTGGTTGTAAGAACTGTACTGTGGTTATAGGAGCACCTGGGAGGCTCAGTCATTGAATGTCTGCCTTCCGCTCAGGTCATGATCCCAGGGTCCTGGGATCGAGCCCCACATCGGGCTCCCTGCTCGGCGGGAAGCCTGCTTCTCCCTCTCCTGCTCCCCCTGCTTGTGTTCCCTCTCTCGCTGTCTCTCTCTCTGTCAAATAAATAAATAAAATCTTAAAAAAAAATGTACTGTTATTATATAAGATGATGCCCTCGTTCCTAGGAAATACAGAAATATTTATGAGCAACAGGGGAGGGATGATATTGCCAATTACTCAAATGGCCCAGAAAAAATTATGTAATACAGAGAGAGGCAAAGAGACAGAAAGCAAATGGGACAAAGATAAACAATGGTAACTCTGGGCCAGAGATGTCGGAGAGTTCTTTCTGCTATTCTTGCAATTTTTCTAGAAGTTTGAATGTATATCAAAACAGAAAGTCACAGAAAAGCAAGCCACAGCGTCTGGATAAATGTTCTAAGGTCTTGCCTCACAGATGTTTCCGTTGCTCCCAGATGAGATAGGCTATGGAATATTCCCACCTCAGAGAACTTTTTTTAAAAAATTTTTATTCTTGAGGTATAGTTGACATCCAACGTTATATTAGTTTCAGGTGCACAACATACTGATTCCACAACTCTATACATTCCTCAGTGCTCATCACTGTAAGCACACTTATCCATCTGTCACCATACAACATTGTTACAATGTTACTGATGTTTTCCCTATGCTGTACTTTTCATCCCAGTGACTTAACTTATTTTGTAACTGGAAGTTTGTACTTCTTAATCCCCTTCACCTAGTTTCTCATCTCCCCCATTCCCCTCTGGCCACCACCAGTTTGTTTCTCTGCATTGATGAGTCTGTTTTTGTTTGTTTGTTCATTTATATTTTTTTTTACAGTTTCTTAAATTTTTTTATATTTTTATTTAAATCCAATTAATTAACATATAGTGTATTATTAGTTTCAGGGGTAGAATTCAGTGATTCATCAGTTGCGTAAAACACCCAGTGCTGGGTGCCTGGGTGGCTCAGTTGGCTAAGCGACTGCCTTCGGCTCAGGTCATGATCCTGGAGTCCCGGAATCGAGTCCCGCTTTGGGCTCCCCGCTCAGCGCGAGGCCTGCTTCTCCCTCTCCCGCTCCCCCCTCTTGTGTGCGCGCTCTCTCTCTCTCATTCTCTCTCTCAAATAAATAAATAAAATCTTAAAAAAAAAAAAAAAAAACCCAGTGCTCATTACATCAGGTGCCCTCCTTAATGTCCATCCTCCAGTTACCCCATCCCCCACCCCCTCCCCTCCAGCAACCCTCAGTTTATGTCCTATGATTAAGAGGCTCTTATGCTTTGTCTTGTTCATGTATTTTTTATTTTATTTATTTATTTATCTGACAGAGAGAGAGACAGCGAGAGAAGGAACACAAGCAGGGGGAGCAGGAGAGGGAGAAGCAGGCTTCCCGCTGAGCAGGGAGTCCCATGCGGGGCTCGATCCCAGGACCCCCGGATCATGACCTGAGCAGAAGGCAGACGCTTAACCGACTGAGCCACCCAGGCGCCCCTTATTCATGTATTTTTGCTTTTTAGTTTCTGCATATGAATGAAATCATATGGTATTTGTTTTTCTCTGTCTGACTTATTTGACTTAGCATACTACCCTCTAGATCCATCTGTGTTGCGGCTGGTATGAAAAAGACAAGAAAAAACAAGTGTTGGCGAGGATGTGGAGAAAAGGGGAGCCTCGTGCACTGTGGGTGTGGGCGTAAGCCGGGGCAGTCACTGTAGACAACGGGATGGAGGTTCCTCACGGGACTTCTCGAGCCTCCCCCTCCTGCAGCTCCAGCCCCAAGTGGCGACAAGCAGACCCCACCCCTCAGCCTGCTCCGCCCACAGCTCCGCCCCCTCCTGGGAGCAGAGCCGGGGCGGGGGGCCGGTGCGCGTGCGCAGCATCCCAGGCGCGGGTGCACAGAATGCCAAGAGGCCCATCCCTAGAGGAGGTAAGGACCGTTTCCTACCTCAGTGGTTCTAGGAACGCAGTCCCCAGCAGCAGCACCTGGACATGTATTAGACATGCACGTTCGCAGGCCCCAGCCCAGAACACCTGAGTCCGAAATTCTAGAGCTGGGACCAGGAATCCGTGTGTTAACCAGCCGCCGGGGGATTCTTTGACAGCCACAGCTCTACTAAATGAAGGCTCTGTTAAAGGCATCAAAATTGGGGCTTCTTTCCTGTCCAGTTTCTTTATCTTTTTTAAGGTTTTATTTATTTATTTATTTAAGAGCGTGCACGCGCAAGTTGGGGGAGGGGCAGAAGGAGAAGCAGGTTCCCTGCTGAGTGCGGAGCCTGATGCAGGGCTGGATCCCGGAACCCTAAGATCATGACCTGAGCTGAAGGCAGACGTTTAACTGACTGAGTCACCCAGGCGCCCCTCTGTGCAGTTTCTTTAGAAAGAAGGCCAGAAATACTCAAACTTCTCTAGAGCATTCCCTGTGAAAAGTGACTGAGAAGAGCACAGATGGGGTTAAAAGGAACAGGAAGTGTGGGGAGAGGAGCACTTATTTCTCTCCCTCCTCTGCTTCCACAGAGGTAAGGGACTTTCATGCCCTCCACAGAGAAAAGGAACATTCCATTCCTCATTCCTCCCCCGTGGGATGAGGGAACACATGGCTGGTGACTTTAGGAAGAGGGTTGACCCCTTTCTGGGTACCCTGCCATTGAGATCTGCCTGCCCATTGACAGGTGCATCCCTCCAGGATCATGTGTGTCCCCCGAGGCTTAGCTGGCCGAGGCTGACCAAGCCTGTGATGCAGGAACTTTTGAGCCCAGTTCAGCTGGGTCCTCAACTACACCCTCCCTCAGGTACCAGCTGATCTCTGATCTCTGGGTCTAGCTCTTAGTCAGTCCTCAACTTAGGAGTCCAAAGAGAAAACATTTTATCGGACACATGAAACCCAACCAGGAGGGAGAAGAGGATGATGGAGAGTGGTTTCAGCAAGTCCTCTCCGGAGGATATGAAAGAAGCAGAGGGCTTTGCATATGCAGCCTTAGGACAGGAGGGAAGGGAGCGAGGCACCAGCAGTGGGGGGACGCTAAGGTCACCAGGCCACATGTCCAGCCATAATCTTCCATGGTCCTCTTTGCATGTGTGGTAGAATACACATAACATAAAATTTACCATTTTAATCATTTTAGAAGTGTACAATTCAGTGATAATTACATTCATTCACAGTGTTGTACCAATATCACCACCTAGTTCCAGAAATTTTCCTCACCCCGAATAGAAACTCCACACCCATTAGCAGTGACCCCTTATTCCCCCTCCACACCCCCCAGCTCCTGGAAACCACTAATCTACTTTCTGTCTCTGTGCATTGGCCTATTGTAGATATTTCATATAAATGGAATCCTACAATCTGTGGCCTTTTGCATCTGGCTCCTTTCACATAGCATAACCTTTTCAATGTCTGTCATTATTGTAGCTTATATCAGTATTTTATTCCTTTTTATGGCTGAATAATCCACTGTATGGATAAAATACATTTTTGTTTATCCATTCATTCACCAGTTGATGGACAGTTGGGTCATTTCTATCTTTTTGCTACTGGGAATAGTGCTGCCATGGACATTCATATACAAGTGTTTGTTTGACCATCTGTTTGCAATTCTTTGGGGTATATATCTAGGAGTGGAATTGCTGAGCAGTAGGGGCTGAAATGTGTCCCCCCAAAATGCATGTTGTAAAGCCCCAGTACCTCAAAATGTGACTACATTCAGAGATAGGGTTCTTAAGTAATTAAGTTAAAATGAGGTCATTGGGGTGGGCCCTAATGCAATATGACTAGTGACCTCATAAGAGGGGAAATTTGGACACAGACAGGTGCAGAAGGAACACCATGTGAAGACACGCGCCTAGGAGAGAGGCCTCCAAAGAAACCAACTCTCCAACACCTTGATCTTGGACTTCCAGCCTCCAGACTGTAAGTAATAAATTTCTCTTGTTTAAGCCACTCAATCTGTGGCACTTTGTTACGGCAACACTAACAAACTAACCTGAATCCTGTGATAATTCTATGCTTAACTCCCTGAGAAACTGCCAGACCATTTTCCTCAGTGGCTGCATCTCTCCCATGGCTTTTTGACGGCGGTTCTATGTGAGATGCTTCTGAAATACACTGTATTGCAGGGGAGGTTGGAGAAATGTCCCTGTATGGAATGGGGGACTCCCCTTCAGTCATAAGTAGACTCATAGAGATTACAGGCTCCCAATCAGTAGCGTCCAAGGTATTTTGTATCTTGGAGGATGCTACTCACCTGGTCGGCAGGGTTCAGACTCCACCTGGAAGAGCTCTCTCTCTCCAAATTGTTTCAAGGGCTCATCACCTCTTCCCAGAGCTGCTTCTGGTGGACAGACCTCTGCTACTCCAGCTACCAAAGCAATGAGGAAGAGAGCACTGCAAAGCCCGTACCCATCCATACCACGGAGCATCAGCCCACTTGAATCCACATCAAACTCAGCCAGGCTGCACTTCCAGAGTTTGCCATGCTGCTTTCCGTGAAGCCAAGGCACCTGCCGGTGAGCCTCATGTCCTGAATTCAGAGGATGTCCAAGTTTTGTGCTGTTTTGGAAACAGAGGGCAAAGAAGTCCCCCCCCCCCCCCCATTTGGACAGATGTGGATGGATATCAGCCAGAGGTCACCTTAGCTTGAGCCTCTGTCCTCACTGATAAAATGTGCTGGACAGACATGAAGATCAGACATGAGGAGGGGATCTGCCTAGATTATGTTGGGAAGCCAGGCCTTGGTTCTAGTAATCACCACCTTGCCCCTGCAGAGTGAGGCTCCCAAGAGGACAGTTGCTTAGTATGGTAAGCATTTGATAAGTCAATGGATGATTCCGTGAATGTCTCCTCAAATCAGGCATCCATCTCCTATTTCCCCATAGATTATGAAATCTTTTTTTTTTTTAAAGATTTTATTTATTTATTTGACAGAGAGAGAGAGAATGAGCACAAGCAGGGGGAGTGGCAGGCAGAGGCAGAGAGAGAAGCAGGCTCCCCACAGAGAAGGGGGAGCCCGATGTGGGGCTCGATCCCAGGACTCCAGGATCATGACCTGAGCCGAAGGCAGTTGCTTAACCAACTGAGCCACCCAGGCGCCCTAATTCAGTCCTTTCTATTAGTACAGATGACCTTTCAACAGCTCAGGGGTTAGAAGTGCCGAGCCCCACCCTCCCCACCAGGGGAAGCGAGTAGTTGAAAATCCCCATATAACTTTGGACTCCCCAAACACTTAACTACTAACAGCATACTGTTAACCAGAGGCCCAATAACATAGTCGATTAACACATATTTTGTGTGTTGCGTGTATCATATACCGTACTATACTGTATTTACCAGAAAAACCCACATATAAGTGGACCCACACAGTTCAACCCGAGTTGCTCAAGGGTCAACTATATAAAGCACAGGGCAATTGAGTGTCTTAGGGGATTTATTCGTGACTTTGGCTTTTCCAGTTCAGCAGTTCTCAAAGTGTAATCCCCTGGACAGCAGCATTAGAATCTCTTGGGAACTTGTTAAAAATGCACATTCTTGGGCGCCTGGGTGGTTCAGTTGGTTAAGTGACTGCCTTTGGCTCAGGTCATGATCCTGGAGTCTCAGGATCGAGTCCCACATCGGGCTTCCTGCTCAGCGGGGGGGGGGTCCGCTTCTCCCTCTGACCCTCTTCCCTCTCGTGCTGTCTCTCATTCTCTCTCTCTAATAAATAAATAAAATCTTTAAAAAAAAAAAAAAAGAAAGAAAAAGAAAAAAAGAAGAAAAAATGCACATTCTTGAACTTCACTCCAGACCTAATGAATCAGAGACTTGGGGGGGGGGGCAACAATCCATTTCAATAAACTCTCCAAGTGATTCAGATGCACACTGGAGTTTGTAAATCAATATTTTAAGCTAAGAACAAGCATTTAGATAGCTCGGAGCCCGGAGGGGGACACAGGAATGCCAAGAAACCAAGTGTATATGAAGGAAAGACTTTTTTTTTTTTTTAAGATTTCACTTTATTTATTTGATAGATAGAGAGCACAAGTAGGCAGAGCGTCAGGGAGAGGGAGAAGGAGAAGCAGACTCCCCGCCAAGCAGGGAGCCAGATGCGGGGCTTGATCCCAGGACCCTGGGATCATGACCCGAGCCGAAGGCAGACGCCTAACCAACTGAGCCACCCAGGTGCAGGTGCCCCAAAGGAAAGACTTTCACTCCAGCAAACTTTCTGCAACAAATTTTCTAGAGACTTGATAACCATCTGGGGAGGCTAAAGGAACTAAAAAGAAAGCATCAAACATTTGTTTTAAAGCATTATAGGAATAGAAAAAGCCCAGAGTCTGAAATAAATTCAGATTAACAGGAATTTAAATCTTACTAGTTGTGTGAACTTGATATGCAGCAGGTGCATTTTTAGTGTTTGTCAACCCCACGACTCTTCCATTGCTTGCCTAGAATCCATCGCTCCGTCTTTCTGGAGCTGGGGCACAGGGGTACAAGTGCATCCGGTTATGGGGGTCCCAAATGGACCAGGTCTAGTCACTTGCAGAGAGACAAGTGACAGTGAAATAAGAAAGGAATTTATTTTGGTGAGGCGGATACCGGGAAGACAGTGGACTAGCATCTGAAGACTGTCTCCAAAATGCTGAAAATACCTCCAGGTTTATATAAGGAAAAGTGGGGCAAAGGTCAGTGGGTACCTGAGGTGGGCAGTAAAGGTCAGGTCATCAGTGTCTTGGGGTCAGTCACAGGTGGGGTCTTGCTGGCTCAGGGCCGTCATTGCTTGAGCAGGTAGTTTTGGTTTCCATCAGGGGATACTTTGCCTGCAGGCTCTTTGCCCGAGCTCAGAGATAACCTGGAAAGACCTTAATCAATTAGAAAGTTTGAAGTCAAAATGGAGGTGGTTGAAATCGTCCTTCATTTCCACACACAGAGAAACTCTTGCAACCATATGTGTGTGCCTGGGTGCAAACCCTACTAAGAAGATGCAATTGTCCGCGTAAAGGGTTTAGAATCGGGAGCAAGCAACAATCAGGTTTTTAGCAGGGGCTGGCCTTGTAATACATGATTTCAGGAGCTCTGGGGCAGCCATCATTCTCTACAAGAATGAAGAAACCAAGAGAAAGAAGCCATTCTGCAGCTGGACAGACGAATGAATCAGGGGTGTGTTTGCCAGGCTCCCAGCTCTTTCCTGATCCAAGCTCAAGGCCTTCCTGGGTCTAGTGGCAAATCTGACTGTGGGTTCAGCAGAACATCCCTGGATCCTCCCTGCCCCTCCCTTTTTTTCCTTTGCCAAACTGAGCTCGTTTGTTTCCGTGACTCATGACCAGGAAGACTTTGCTAAGACATGTGAACAATTTATCCAGTTTCACCCAACCTCAGTGTCTGTGTTTGTGCAAGAAGGCTCACAATAACTACCTCGTCGACTGGTGATGATCTAAGTGAGATAACACGCGTAAAATGCTCAGAACAATGTCTAGAACACAGTGGACTCAGTGGAGCTTCCCCTTCAAGTCATAAGAGTGAGCTCCGTACTCCCCTCTGTGGTCCAGGACAGACCCAAAGCCGGGGTATCCACAGATAACTTGTTCTGACTGGCTAGGACCCGAAGACAAGGAGCCTGCCAGTGATTTCAACATCTGAAAACGCTGTGTTTTCAAAAAGCTTCTTTACTTTTCTGTGATGCATTTGCCTGGGTCTTTCAGAACAGACCTTTAAGATGGCAAAGACAGAGCTTTTTCTTCTTCAATTCAAAACAATCAATAGACAATGCCAGGAGCTGGGGACACAGTGGCAGTCGAGATACACCCTTTGCCCTCAAGGAACTCACAGGTAATAAGGAGAAACATCTGGGAAGGTGGAGCTTTTGCCTTACTGTGCTCACGTCTGTTCTACTGACTCAAAAAACACTGAGAAATCAGATAGGCCTACTTCTTTCTCCCTGTGGGACACATTATAGATGCTGCTCCATTCAAAAGATTTATTTGGAGGGGAAAAAAAAAAAAAAAACCTGATGCTGTAAATGTGAATTCCATTTGTGTCCACACCAAGTAAAAGATCTGTGTGGTTTGTATTTTCCTGTGAAATAATAAATTGTGGCAGATGTTAAAATACAGTTTCTACTGAAATGTGAAGGCAGAGAAGAAAAATACTAGGGAGACCTCTGATTTTACTTCCAGGCAAAGAACAGAGATGGATTTTCTTTACATTTTATTTATGTGTATATTTCCCCAATAAAGTACTGGAATGAGAGAGTGGGAGGTGTTCTTGGAGCAGATGCTGGGGTTTCCAGAATCATCCTGCCCAGATCTGCCCCAACCTCCCTCGGAAGCTGCGTAACCAGAACAAAACAGGGTTTGAGGCCCAGAGCCTGCCAGTTGGCCCCCCCATGCTGGGGCTGCTGGCCCGCCTAATAGGGGGGAGGGGTGCTGGGGCCTCTAGCAGGTATGCTTAAGCCAGGGACTCTGACCAGACTGGTCCTGACGGAGTCCAAACATCCAAACTCTGAATAGCTTCATAAATTTCCCAAAGGGAACTACTCCAAAAGTTCAACTTGAATGAAAGGTGCATTTATAAGTAACAAAAGCTTTTGGGTTTTCTTGAGAAACCCAGGCTCAGACTCTCTCCATTCCACACCGGGCCCAGCTGGACGAGCGGTGAAAACCATCCCGATGAACAAGAACTGTCTCCACCACAGGAGAGTAGCTCCGGCCCATCAGCAGCCTCCTTGGGGTCACTGCCGTGGGAGGGAGGCGGGCGTACCCTCCCTCCCACGGGAGGGTCTGGGTCAGAAGTCAGGTGCCACCACTGCTTCCGCCCACCACCAGCCTTGACTTTTCATTCCCCATGGCGGGTGCTCAGTTGCCCCCCTGCTGGATGGAGCTCAGAATCTCCAGACGACCTCACAGAGTTTTGATGGGCACAAGAAGCACGGTCTCCTGAAAGCCCTTGGACTTGGTAGAGGATATACCGGTGATGATGGATGAGCCCCGCTGGCCTCTTTGTCACTGTTCCCCCAGAGCACAAACACGATCACCACCACTCAGCACAACCCGAGAGGGAGTGACACGGCACTGAGACGGACCTTCCATCCCCAGACCGGCAGCGACTCCACTGGACTAGTAGACACTAAGTGTCCCCTGGAAGCCCCCTGGGGTCCTCGGGCCACCTATAAATCCACGCGTAAGGGTTAACACACACTCTTTTCATGATCAGTCCTCATCCTAATCCCCAGCCTCAGAAAGTCTTGCGATGACCAGGGACAGGACACTGAATCTCACAGAGGGACACAGATATCTCAGGCGTACATGAGAGAAAAAGGAAAAGGGTTCCCAAAGAAGAAAAGGTGCAGGGGCGCCTGGGTGGCTCAGTCGGTTAAGCGTCTGCCTTTGGCTCAGGTCATGATCCCAGGGTCCTGGGATCGAGCCCCGCATCGGGCTCCCTGCTCATTGGGAAGCCTGCTTCTCCCTCTCCCACTCCCCCTGCTTGTGTTCCCTCTCTCTCTGTGTCTCTCTCTGTCAAATAAATAAAATCTTTAAAAAGAAAGAAAGAAAAGGTGCTGCCCTATGGGAACCATGTCTTCCCAGAAGACACTGGAAGGCAGAAAGCCCCACTTAGGCAGGCACTCAGGAAAGAAAAGGACCACGTTTTGATTTTGCAAGTAAACTGCCTCCCCCTTGACCAAAGCTCACCAAATATTCCCAGAAAACAGACCCTTAGACCTGGAAGCTGGATGGAAATGGTACTCTCTTTCTCCCAGGAAATAATCCATAAATGCATTTTCTAAGCAGCCCCTGGAGCCCGGGTGCCCATGGAAACTTCATGGCCCCTCAACTCAGGCTTGAGACTGAATTAAGATAAAACACACTTCCACTGAAGGGGGACTGAGAGACCCCAGACATTTCTGCGTCCTGTGCAACTTTCAGATGATTCATCTTGGCCTCATCCCTGTGGTACAAGTCCGTGATGAAACTCGCAGTGACAAAATGTCTGGGGTCCGTTCTCCATAGCTTTGTTTTAAAGCCATTGCTTTGCCCTTCATAATATTCCTGAAATGATGTGAGTTTTGATGGTGTCTGTTTGTATTTTGTATTCGTTTCATTAGGTATAGTGTGTTTTATTTTTTGGGGGTTTTTTAAGATTTTATTTATTTAGGGGCGCCTGGGTGGCTCAGTCAGTTACGTGGCTGCCTTCGGCTCGGGTCATGATCCCGGGGTCCTGGGATCGAGCCCCGCATCGGGCTCCCTGCTCGGCGGGGAGCCTGCTTCTCCCTCTCCTCTGCCTGCCTCTCTGCGTACTTGTTCTCTCTCTGTCAAATAAATAAATAAAATCTTAAAAAAAAAAAAAGAGTTTATTTATTTATTTGACAGAGACATAGTGAGAGAGGGAACAGAAGCAGGGGGAGTGGGAGAGGGAGAAGCAGGCTTCCCACAGAGCAGGGAGCCCGACGTGGGGCTCAATCCCGGGACCCTGGGATCATGACCTGAGCCGAAGGCAGACGCTTAACGACTGAGCCACCCAGGCGCCCCTGGTTTCCTCCTTTGTAAAATGACAATGATGGTCATAATGTGTAGCACAGCAGGGCTGGTATGAGGATCACAAAGTAAATGATGCATGTTAACACTTGGCACGGTCTTGGCATAGAGGAAGCAGTCCACGAGCAGTGATTATTATGATTCTTCTTCATTCATGCAATTCTCCCTCAGCCTGAGCTTGAGAAAGAAGCACTCATCCTCATAATACACATAGGCGTGATCCTTCTTTATCTGGCAAGTCTGAGCCGGTATTTCGATTTAGTCCAGCTCACGTTTACTACACATCTACTAAGTGCCTAGCACAGCAAGGAAAGTTTAAAAGGCATGTAAGCCTTTCTCGCAGATTCTGCTACCTGAGGAAAGACAAGATCTATACCACATGTCTAACAAAGAGACAGTACCCTACAATATATTCAAAAAACACTAAACCCGGCCAAAGCCCTAACCCAAAACTTAGGGCGGAAAATAATAATGAGAGAAAACAAAGGCTTTTAGGAGGAGATGGGAGTTAGGAAGCCAGGACCCAAGGACTGGTAGAACGTGGATGGAGGTGAGGAGTGAGGAGGGATGATCAGCTGTAGCACTGGATCCCTTTCTCGCCATCAGGAACCATCCACCGGGCCCCGAGCACCCACTCAGCACATGGCAGTCTCGAACATGCTCACTCTTTGAGACAACGGCTCCACTGGGACGAGACAGCTGGTGCGGGAAGGGTGGTGTGGTAGTCGCCATACTGTAGAGGAAGCAGGGCAGCCGTGAGATGCTCTTGTCGTGCAGGGCTCCTGCCGACAGGCGCGGCCCAGGGAGGCATCCTTCCTCCAGGAGGTGGGCTGGCTTGGGGGGCCGGAAATCAAAGTCCCAGGTAGACCCAGACAGAGATCCAGCGCAGGCTGGTCTCTCAGGGCTCTTCTCCGCCTCCTACAGCTGCTATTTCAAAGCCTCGTCCCCAGGCAGCTACCAGAGCAAAGCACCTTCAAACCTTTTGACCACAACCCCAGGAAGAAGTACATTTTACAGAAGGACCTCACACACACACACACGTACATGACAATAAAATACGGGTCTCATGAACTGATATTTAGCCCTCCTACAGAGATACACTCTCATCTTTTCTGTCCTATGTAATGTTTATTTTTTTAAAGATTTTATTTTTTATTTATTTGACAGAGAGAGAGACAGCGAGAGAGGGAACACAAGCAGGGGGAATGGGAGAGGGAGAAGCAGGCTTCCCGGGGAGCAGGGAGCCCGATGCGGGGCTCGATCCCAGGACCCTGGGATCATGACCCGAGCCGAAGGCAGACGCTTAACGACTGAGCCACCCAGGCGCCCCATGTAATGTTTTTTATTTTAAGCACACCCCTTTAAATAGATCTTATAACCCACTCATAGCTCCCCTCCCCAGTTTGACAAGCTCTGTCTCAGAGGAGAGTTTCTCACATATTTACTGCACACAGGAACCAGCCTTCACTGAGTGTTCGCTTAATACACAGATTTCCGGGCCCTGTCCACAGACATTCAAACTCCACAGGTCTGGGGAGGGCTGAGAATTGACTTTTTAATGAACACCCCGGGTGATTGTGATGCAGGTACCCCACTTGGAGAAACGCTGTGATGGAGCACTCAAGGACGCCCTTGTCTCCGGGAAACTCGGATATTCACAACTCCTCGGTGTCTACGGTCTGGCCCACCTCCCTGGACAAGACTCACATAGTGACTTCACTTCCCTGTGACATTCACTGGTGTCTTCTCCACCAGACAGGAACTTGACTCACTTCTTTCTCCTGAACATGAAAACTCTCTCCAAACAATCGACAGTTCTATGGTCTCACCTTTGTTTGGAAGGGAGAAGAGGCCAGTAAAATCCGGGCTTCAGGAGAGGAATAGATAACTTCACTGAGGATCTGTTTCTCATCCTGAGACACAAAATTATTCTCAGTCGGATGCGTCCCAGCATTTGACAAAAGCACCAGTAACCAAATAATTTAAACCTCAGGGCCCAGTACAGAAGCACAAACGAGTCTCTTTCCCATTCCAGTTTTTAAGTAAGACTTACACCCCGCATGGGGCTTGAACTCATGACCCTGAGATCGAGGGTTGCATACTCTACTGACTGAGCCAGCCAGGTGCCCCTCTATTCCAATTTTTAAAATTCCATTTTGAAACATGTTAATTGTTTCAGTGTTATATAAAGATAGAGCCAGGAAGAGAGGTAGCAGGAAAACGTAATAAATGACTCAGAAAAAGAATAGTTAGAAAAATAGTACATTAGCCAAAAGCTGACAGATGCATAGAGATGGAAACAGATAGATATCTAAGTATAATTTTATTTATTTTTAAGATTTTTAAAAAAGATTTTTTATTTATTTTTTGACAGAGAGAGAAACAGCAAGAGAGGGAACACAGGCAGGGGGGTGGGAGAGGGAGAAGCAGGCTTCCTGCAGAGCAGAGAGCCCGACGCGGGGCTCGATCTCAGGACCCTGGGATCGTGACCTGAGCTGAAGGCAGCCGCTTACCGACTCAGCCACCCAGGTGTCCTAAGTATAATTTTAAATGTGTTGACACTGCTTGCCTAAATTGCTCTTCTTTTACTAAATTAAATAGCATAACAGCCCCAAATCCCAGAAGCACATCCCATTTTGAAACAGTTCACCTGTTTTAAGCCTTTATTTACTGCAGGCAACATCCTGATATTGTAAGAAAGGGAAAGACACCATTTTCCCAACAAACATGCCCATCAAGGTACAACATTACTGTTATGTACGTCAGGCATTAAATCCACAAAGATTTATTGAAATGTGATGCACCACCAACAGATACTGGATGTGTACATTCATTTGCTCCTCCAAGAGCCCCTTTAGGCCATCAGGCTTGGTGCTGGGCCACTGGATATAAAGAGATAATTGAGATGTGGTCCCTGTCCCAGTAGAACTTACAGTCTGTAATGGGGGATTTTAAAGTTAAGTGATCTGGGGCGCTTGGGTGGCTCAGTTGTTAAGCGTCTGGCTTCAGCTCAGGTCATGATCCCAGGGTCCTGGGATCCAGCCCCACATAGGGCTCCAGCCCCGCATAGGGCTCCCTGCTCAGTGGGAAGCCTGCTTCTCCCTCTCCCACTCCCCCTGCTTGTGTTCCCTCTCTCGCTGTCTCTCTTCCTGTCAAATAAATAAATCAAATCTTTAAAAATAAATAAATAAGTGATCTGACAGTTATAACGCTAGAAGCATGGAATGCTACAAGAACCCAGGAAGGAGAGGAAGAAGGTCAGGGAATACACACTTAAAACTAAAGGGGTTGGGCGCCTGGGTGGCTCAGATGGTTAAGCGACTGCCTTCGGCTCAGGTCATGATCCCAGGGTCCTGGGATCGAGTCCCACATCGGGCTCCCGGCTCAGCGGGGAGCCTGCTTCTCCCTCTGACCCTCTCCCCTCTCATGCTGTTTCTCTCTCGCTCGCTCTCTAAAAATAAATAAAAATCTTAAAAAAAAAAAAAAACTAAAGGGGTTAGCAAATGTGCAAGAAGAGAGGTGTGAGAGGCAAGGGGGTGGCAAGGACAGCAAATAGCTCGTGTGACCGGAACCCTGGTTCAGAGGAGTGGTGGGAGAGGGGTCCAGGGAAGGGGGCTGACCACACACACACACACAAACACACACACACACACTTTAGGGGCCACTCCAAGGAGTGTAGCCTTGGTCCTAGACAAGATGGGCAGTCACTGAGAATGTACAAGCAGGGCAGTGATATATTGGACATCACACTGATAGACAAATTGGGGACTGAAACTGAATTCAGAAAAGAACTTTTGCTTTGGATGCAGCCCAGTCTTGAAGAGAGGATCACACAGGATACACCTTCTTCATCAGTAAAGCTTTGATACTTTCCTGTTCAGTGGTGACACATTGATCCAGTGAATTCTTGACCCCCCCCCCCTCTCTTCCAAGAGCCCTTCACTAGGCTGGGGAAAATAGCCCCACATCAAAGCGTGTGTTTACCAGGCACCTGGGGAAGGGAATTGCCAGGATGACAAAACACAGCATTTTCTAGGATTCAGGGTCTCAGGTCTCCCCTTGAAGGAACCAGTCTGCCCAATCTTCCTGTGGTATTCGTTTTTAAAATCTAGCTTTGACTATTTACATTGATCTCTACTAATTTTCACCTTGTTGGTTTCAATCTATCAACTCTCATTATTCATTCATTCTATAAATATTGGCTGAGCACCTACTATGTGCCAGTCACTGTTCTAGGTACTGAGGACACAGCAGTGAACAAAAAAACAGATTTTCCTGCCCATTCCAAGGGAGGAAGATGAACGAAAAGAACAGAAAAAAGAAAAGAAAAGAAACCGGTATAAATATGGTATGTTAGCTACTGATAAGTGCTAATAGTGCTCACTCAAATTCCAGAGTTTATATTCATGCTTAACCTGGTGGTGAAAATCCAGGACATGCCTAGGAGTGTGTTGCCCTTACTTACTGTTGGTCCAGCATATGTTATGAAAACAAGACCAGGGCACCTGGATGGCTCAGGTCATGATCCTGGAGTCCCGGGATCGAGTCCCACATCGGGCTCCCTGCTCGGCGGGGAGTCTGCTTCTCCCTCTGCCCCTCCTCCCTCTCATGCTCTCTCTCTATCATTCTCTCTCTCTCAACAATAAATAAATAAAAATCTTAAAAAAAAAAAAAAGAAAACAAGGCCATTGCCTGGTTTTACATTGCTAGATGCTCCAAACTTTCTCTTGGTTTGAAAGGGATGCATTTTACAGATGAATCAGAGAAGGCAGTTGTGAGAATCCACTGCATCCCAAATAGGCCCACTCAGGCAAACATGTGCACAGGCTAAATCACATTTTCCTGTGCCACGGGGTTCATCTTTTTAAATAGAAATTTTAAAGTTATTTTTAAACATTAACAGAAATAATAGACTAGGAAGATCAGACAAATCTTAAGAAATGAAAAGAACTAGAAAAGCTAGATGAAATAGAATACTTCTGGGGGCACCTGGGTGGCTCAGTCAGTTAAGCCTCTGCCTTCGGCTCAGGTCATGATCTCAGGGTCCTGGGATCGAGTCCCACGTTGGCCACCCTGCTCAGCAGGGAGCCTGCTTCTCCCTCTGCTTGAGTTCTCTCTCTCTCTCTCTGTCAAATGAATAAATAAAATCTTAAAAAAAAATAGAATACTTCTGTTTGAAGGCTTTAAGGAATCACCAAGGAGTGAATAATTACAGTATCCAGATATGGAGAGAAGAGGAAATGTGGAGAGCTGAGCCCAGAATCTGTGGCTACTTTTGCCTAAGAGATGCCTGGCTTTTCCATAAAAGACACCAGAAAATCTGAGAACTTTGATAGATCTGGGGACTAGCAGGGGAAATTGTTCAGGGTCTGCCAAAGAGGAAAGCACCTGACAGATGGCTCAGACTTTTGGAAGGGATCCTCAGGCTGCAGTCTAGAAAAGAATGTGAAGTCAGAACTGGAAATTGAGTGGCCCCCACAGGGATTGCAATCAGCTCAATTCCTGATTACATTAAGATGGTCTGGAATTGCTAGTAGCCCTAGTCTAGCTGCCTCTCAGAAGCAGAAGAAAACCTCCTGCGTAGTGCAATACAAACTAACATACATTATAAAAGACAGTGTGTACTGGAATGGCTAATATAAAGAGGCAGATGACATCAAGCATTGGTGAAGATGTGGAGCAACTGGAACTCCCTTACACTGCTGGTGGAAGCGTGAGTTGGTACGACCACCTAGGAAAAAGATCTATTTTGCCAATATCTAACTGAAATCAACGCTATGGTACCCAGCAACTCCACTTTTAGATATGCTCTAGAATGACCACCTAGGATCCCCAAAAGACATATCCAAGTAGGTTCCTAGCAACATTTAATTAGCATCCCCAATTGAAAACAAACCGAATGTCCATCGGTTGAAGAATGGAGAAATTGTGGCATGTTTACATAACAGAATGCTATACAGACCTGAGAATAAGTGAAGTATGACTACACACAACAACATGGGTAAAAGAAGCCATTTATAGTCCATTACATTCTTATTTAAATTAATTCACTCACATAGTACCAAATCAGTCAATTCTATTATATTGAAAGACAGGATATTTATTATCCTTGGAAGGATAGTGATTGTAAGGGGATATAAGAGGGTTTCTGGAGTTCTGGAAATGTTCTGGGTCCTTATCAGCTAGATATATAGGTATGTTCACTCGGTGAAAATTGATCAAGCAGTTCCCTTATGATTTGTGTACTCTGTATGTTACTCTTTTTTTTTTTTTTTTAAGATTTTATTTATTTGTGAGAGAGAGAGAGCACAAGCAGGGGGAGCGGCAGGCAGAGGGAGAGGGTTAGGCAGGCTCCCCGCTGAGCAGGGAGCCCGACGCAGGGCTCAATCCCAGGACCCTGGGATCATGACCTGAGCTGAAGACAGACACCTAACTGACTGAGAAACCCAGGCACCCTCTGTATGTTACTCTTTAATAAAAAGTTAACATTAGTGCTTGCTTTGGCACCATATATACTAAAATTGGAACGAGGGGCACATGGGTGGCTCAGTCGGTTAAGTATCTGACTTTTGGTTTCAGCTCAGATTATGATCTCAGGGTTGTGAGATCAAGCCCTGCCTTGGGCTCTGTGCTCAGATTCTTCCCTCTTGCCCACCTCCCCCCACCCCCAGGAGATTTTTTAAAGGGAAGGCATGAAAGGCTATCTTCCCTGTCTTGTCGAAGCAGGAGATTTTTATTTTTTTTTAATATTTTATTTATTTATTTGAGAGAGAGAATGAGATAGAGCATGAGAGGGGGGAGGGTCAGAGGGAGAAGCAGACTCCCCGCTGAGCAGGGAGCCCGATGTGGGACTCGATCCCAGGACTCCAGGATCATGACCTGAGCTGAAGGCAGTCTCTTAACCAACTGAGCCACCGAAGCAGGAGATTTTTAAAGGAGAAGGTGTGGGAAATGGTGAGGAGTCTACATTCAGGAGAAGCTGGTGCTCAGCACTTAATCATTTGTCCTTGCAAGGCTTCCAGCTTCTTCCGTTCTGCCAGTAATCAAAGCTCCCAGGTGTCTCTTATTGAGGATACCATGGTCGGTGGTGGCTGTTTTCGAGAGTGTCGGCCTTACCTCCCAGAAAGTCTGGTCCTTTCTTCCTCAAGGCCAGCAGTCTGTGGGATCTCAAGGGAAGTAGATCAGTTCTGCTACAAACTACCGGGTTTAGGTCAGCACAGAAGCTTGAAGCAAGTTAACCCTTAAGAACAGTTAGAGTCCTACTGCAATGTGATCCAGCAATTCCACTTCCTGGAATATATCCAAAGTGGGGGGAAAACCCACTAGCTTGGAAATATATCTGCATCCCCATGTTTGTAGCAGCATTATTTACAATAGCTAAGATATGGAAGCATAACTAGGTGTCCATCAATGGATGAATGGACAAAGAAGCCATTAAGATACGGAAGCATAACTAGGTGTCCATCAACGGATGAATGGACAAAGAAGTCGTGGTATATCTGTACAAGTGAATATTACTCAGCCATTAAAAATGAGGAAATCCTACTAAAGTGGAAGAAATCTGGAGTGAGGAATAAAAGCTAAAGACTTAAAAAAAAAAAACACTGTTGGGCGCCTGGGTGGCTCAGATGGTTAAGCGACTGCCTTCGGCTCAGGTCATGATCCTGGAGTCCCGGGATCGAGTCCCGCATCAGGCTCCCTGCTCGGCAGGGAGCCTGCTTCTCCCTCTGCCTCTCTCTCTCTGTCTCTCATGAATAAATAAATAAAATCTTAAAAAAAAAAAAAAAAGCAATGTCTAAAAATCAAAACCAAGATGAAATAAATGTACTAAATATCTGGATAATGATATAACCACACAAAAAAGAGCTATTCCAGGTGACTTAAAACACAATATATGGAGGTGATTGCACATTCCTGATGAGGTATGCCCTCAGGACAAAATGAACTGGAAGATAGCTTTTTTGTTTTGGGTTTTTTGTGGGTTTTTTTACGATTTTATTTATTTGTTTGAGTGAGAGAGAACAAGCAGTGGGGAGGGGCAGAGGGAGAGAG